ATGGTTACTGTGCATCACCAACATTTAGGTGGTGGTCTGTGACAGTAAAAGCTGTCTTAGCATCTAAAGTAGGCTGCAAAATAAAAAACAAATAATGTCTGCAGAGGGCAAAGGAAGCAATGTCTGAAAGCTGTGAAGAAGCTTGATGACATGAAGCAGAATATACTAGACTCTGCTGGTGATTATTCTACCTCGTTATTTCTAGAGGACCACTTCTAAGATCATTCTTGTATTGCAGCAGGCTTTATGCAAACAGCAAAACAGAACAGCTTAAATCGCTTCTCATTTAAACAGATAGCAAAAGCAACAAATGTGGTAATCTTGCCAAGTTCACAAAGCAGGCTAGGGCAGTGAGCAGCTCCTCTCTTCTTTGCTTTACAGCTGCCTATTTCCCTCTAGGCAAAGCATACCATTTTTTAAGCAATTTTTTTGGAGTTGGGGCAGGATTTTTGTCCTTTTTTTCCTTCTTACTCATTTGTACACCTGTGCCATTACCAGCAATTTTGTTGGAAGAAACATTGTAATTTCCTGATCTTTTGAGTCATAGTATAAGTTGGCCTGTGAGAAGCAATCTCATCCCCACTGACTTTATTCTTCCTTGCTGTAAAATGGATGAAATAAAGAAACATCAGAACCGAAGACAACATCACAAAATATCCTAGGCAGTTTTCCATTAAGAAGAAAACAACTTCTGTTCTAGCACATCTCCAGCAAATATAAGCAGATCTGCCTTCAGCCATCAGTTAATCTAAGCCAGAGGTTTCCCAGCCACAGGGTTTTGAACATTCATAGCACCCTTGAAGACAGCACAAATGCAGCCCTGGTGGAACTGGTACAAACATCACCCACCTCTGGGATTTCCATGTGTTGCCTTTTGCATGTGTGTCATGGAGTAATTATGTGTTTGGAACTGACTGTCCTTCTGCAATACCTGCTTTTTATTCTGTATGAAAAAAAAAACAAAACAAACCCCTGTGTAGATGAATGCTAGAGCAGCAGGACCTGCATTTCCAGCTGAGGATCCAGGAACTTGCCTAAAGGCTCAAATACCTTGTTGTAAAGTAGCCTTTAGCCTTTAGAGGTAGAGGTATTCCACATAATTTTCTGAGATCCCAGAGGAGAAGAGTTTAGACATGGATGGTCAAGGATAACAGGTTTGGCCTGGGTAAATGCAGGGCAGAAACCAGCAGTGAGTAGGACATGCACCCGTCCTTGCCCAAAGCCAACCCTCAAACCCTGCAGTGTCCCCTCTCCTATAGCACTAAGTGAGAAAAGCTAAAGCACTGTCATGTCTCCAGTTATGCTCCACACAGGGAATGAAAAGTTCTGAAAGCCATTTTCTGGTTAGCTTGGGGGGTATGGGCTTCATGATTGCAGGTGACCCATGTGAATGACATGAAAATTCCGTGATGGAGTTCTGGTTTGTTCCTTTTCACCAGATGTAATAAATATTTCATGTACATACACAGACATAGACACACAGTTTCTCTCATTCATTCAAGTGAGTCCTTTTAAACACATATACACAAATTGGCATCACAGTCCTCGTCATTTATGCTTGGTGATATAGCAAATATGAGCAAAGCAGCTAGAGTATCAAGTTGTTTTAATAAAACTCTTTATAAAATATTATTTATATTGAAAAATAATTCAATTTTTTATTTTCCAACAACACAATTTTTCAGTTCTCGCCAGTTGTGATTTAATTTGGCAGGTTTTTTTATTTATTGGTTGTCTGGTTGGTTTGGAATTTTTTGTATTTTGGAATCATCAAAATATTAAAGCTCAGTTCTAACAGCATAACTTTTTAGACTGAGCCATGCCAGCTGGAGGAAATTACAAACCACTTTCATGTTGCAGCATATTTTGGATGTGACAATGTCAAAAATGTCAGCACATTCTGCTGATTATAATAATAAGCAAGTGTAACAAAAGTTAATGTCTAGGCATGTCCATTGTCCAGAGCCTTGCATCCACTCATTAGAAGCCCTACAACATTTCTGAAACCTGTAATTCCTGAGCTGTTATGTGCTGAAAAAATACTTTTTTTTTTGTAAAGTAGCTAGACTGTCTTGCACTATACATGCTGTACTTGAAATTAAATCTACCTTTTCACAATTTTCCCTCATTCACCACTTCTTCTTCTCCTGCTGATAACATTTAGGTCTTTGTGCACCTCTGTTGATCCTTCCTAACCTTTTCCAAAATGCTGGAATGGCATCTCAGCAGCCTGCTGTTTTCTTGTTCTTTGAAATCAGAAAAAAAATGAAACATACTCCAAGAGTGGCAAGAACAGAAAAGTCATTACTTGTGTACAAAATTAAATTAAATATTATTTTTCATTTCAGAAGTTTAATTTCATGCTGTTTGCTGCCATTTTTTTCCCCACTGATGAAAGACTACAGATGATCTTTTTTCACTAGTCAGCTACCTTTAATTTTAGATAGATGTTGATTGGTTAAAAGGGGAGTTAATGAAAAACTTCCTTAGGAATAAAACTCAAGCATGACATAATAGTTGATAGCACTAACTGAAAGTCGCATCACAGTCAGTGCAGCTCATGTGTTCAATCAGGCTGTGGCAGTCCATAGTAACTCAGTTTGTCTTTCACAAGACCCAAACCATATATGATGGCAAAGCACATTCATTATCAATCAAGGGTGAAGAAATAAAGGCTGAGGCACAGAAAGCCAGGTTTCTGAGTCATGTCAGCAAGACAATTTAATTAAGAATGGAGCATAAATTAAGACCAAGGCACCTAAAAGATGAAAATTCAGCTCAGGCTATGAGCAGCAGAGTGATGTTTCCTGATATACTTTAATACCCTATTCTCCCTTGGTGGCTGCTCTCATTATTGGAGTACAGATGGTGAAAACACATACTGTTCAAATTTACTATGCTCATTCACAAAGATGTTAGTTAAGAAAATAGTGTTACTCTAAACATTATAGCTCCATTTATGTTTTTTTTTTCCCACTTTTCAACACTAAAATAAATAAACCTGCATATGCAGTTACCAAAATGTTCTGTGTGCTTTCTAGTGATGGAAAGTACATGATGGCTGGTTTGCAGATGCTGCAGTCCATTACAGAACAAGATAATTAAAATTACAAACTTTAAAAACACATGTCATTTCCTCAATGATTCTTAATGCCCTCTCTTGAGTCATTACAGTAATTGTGTAAATATGTTATTATTGAGTTATGAGATGTGATCTTTACTCGATCATCTAAAATTACTCTTCACTAAGTCAAGTTTGCTGATACAAGGTTTGCTTACTGAAAATGCTCAGTCACTTGCTGATTTCGCAGATATTAACAGCTACAAGATATTTGTGGTCCAAGTTAAAAGTACAATATCTTTTTATTAATCATTTAGGAGATGGAAAAGTGCTATATTAAAAAATATTGCAGATACTGTTAAACTATAGACCTAAAAAGACAGCCTGAAGTAGTAAAACACAGCTATATCTTACTTTTATACATGAAACCAGAAAAGCTCTTAGACACAAATTGAAATTACAGTCCATAATAATGATGACCAAAGGAGCTGAACCTGGGTTTTCAGTTTGCACTTAGCATACCATGGACAGATATTCTTATGTGCTTTTCTTCTCCAGAAAGCACTATTTCTATTTAAATATAAACTAAAAAATAATTGAAGGCACATGAATTTGAAATCCTCATTATAATAATCTTTTGCTAATTCTGTATTTTACTGGGTAGCAGACAAGTTTTCAAGCCACATTACCTTATGCTGAACTTTTTGCCTCATTCCCTCCCTGGTTTGTGGGGTTGTCTGCATGCATGCACATTCACATGTCCTCATCCCTTTCTTCTTCTACCTATGCCTCAGTTTCATCTCCTGTGAACTAATAAGCTATTAATTGGAAAGTGTTAACTTAATTTTTATTTCAATTATAGTCTTTCTATTTCTACATTAAATACTGGCAGGTGTTTGGCACCAACTCAACTTTTTCCTTTCCCTTCAGAATTTTCACCATTTGTCCTCCTAAAATGGAATAAGGTGATGAGACTTTTTTGTCAGAAATCACCTACTCTTCTTTTTTATTTCTTCTTATCATACAATGTCAGATTTACATATCTGCTATCTTATTTTTTGCAGTGTTTTACAATTTATGAATACTTCGTAGAGGTTTGCTGATTGAAATGATAAATGTTCAAAAGACAAAGGTAATAGGGCCTGATTTCTCATTCAACCCTGTCAGTCAACCCTTGCTATCAGTGTAAGAACACTGAAATCCAGTCCTGGGCACAAAGTTAATGGGCTGCAGAGACCTAATGTTTCACATCTCATTCTGAATGAGGATCACTTTATCTATTCTATTCTTTCTTTGTGCCTAAACACAAGGGTGGCTGGTCCATCTAGTCCACCTCTGTGCCCCAACAGAGCAGCTGGTCTAGGGGGCACAGACCAGAATAAACCTGTACCACACTTTTGTGCTGAACTCTTCCAGCTCAGAGACAAGCCAACTGTGTTTCTTTGTGCTGATGAGCCCCTCACTTCTGAGAATTTTTTTTCAAAGGTGCCTTTAGTGTGCAAATCTTTCTGACATGCAAAATATCCTGGAAAAGTTGTTCTACAGTTTACCTATGCATAGCCTGGGAACTTCTTTTGTCCTTAGTGGGCCTCCAATATACTTCAGGTTGATTTTCCAGTTTGCAATACACAGCAATGATATGGCTGCCTTTCTCCTAGTCAGCCATGTTTCATGAGTGTCTGTCATATCCCCTAAAAATAATAATTCTCCAAATTAAAATGGAATTCTGATTCACCTGGGCTACATGGCAAACCAGGTCAGTATTGGCAAATTAATCAATTTCAGCAGAAGTGCTGACTCACAGACATTACACATCATATTATGTCACCAGTATCAGCACCATATTTTTCATTGCTTCCCACATCCTCCTGTAATGGGCACTCTCTTCACTTGGAAAAGCAAGAAAAATGAGCTGCCAAATTATATTTGCAACTCTTACCACAGTTTATGGAAAACTCCACAGATTCACCTTCAGATCACCATGCTTTGTAGACAGACTTCAGCTTCATCACCCAAATAACCCTGAAGATTGGTGGTTTTGATAAATTGAAGTATTGCTCTGTATTATCTGTGACTTGTGCCCTTCCTTTCTCAGTCTCATGTGCAGCAGCTGAGAGAAAAGTGATCACTGAAGCCCTTTAATTACAGAGCCAGAACTGCACTGCTTTCATGCTCCCAAAATAGCAAAGCTTACATAAAAACATTAGCAGCATGAAAAGGCAGAATATTGGGAACAGCTAGCAAGACTAAGATTCTGTAAAGGTAAACAAAAACTACATTTAGACAACTTTTGATGCAGACTACTCTGTAGTTAACAAGATAAAACAATCCCTCTCTTCATGGTAATGTTTCCCCCAAATCAAGTCTTTTGGGAGCAAGCCATCTTTAAAACCATGGATTATTGTTCTTGCATTGTAATAGTGCTGCTCATTGTGTCAAAATAAAACATAGCTCCCATGGAAACCCAAAGCATCACAAGTCTTTGCTAAGTCACACCTCAGCAATGACAAACTTAACCCAAGCAACAACAGCAACTGCAAAGCCTTAAGCAAAAGTGTCTTCTTTTATTTTTCTGCTCAGGTCAAAGTAACTTAAACCCTCACATGGTTCACTGTAGTACAAGATTACATCAAACTAATGGAAATCAGGTAGTTTCTTAATGTAATGTCACTGAACAGAAGTTGAAATAAATAAAAGTTGGGAATATATTTTATAAAATGAATATGTGCTAGATGAATTTTCTTTCTAATCTGTGCTAAACTAACAAAATTTAACTTTGCCATATTTGCAGAGTACATCAAAATAGAGAACTTAGGAGTAGAGGCACTTTACCCCAGGAATTTACTTCTAAGCTTCTTCCTTGGCAAAGTGCTAGTAGGGACTACTCTGCTGTAGTCATTACTATTGTAAAAGAACAAGTGGAGCTCCTGGACACTGTGGTAATTAGAAATCCTATGGCACTTATTAAAAGTGTAAGAGCATTAACATCAGAGTTCTATTCAAATTCCAATTTTGGTGATTATTGTTAGCTCAGTTTTGACCTTTTCCTGTTTCAGCTGGCTGTCAAGCTTCCCATTTAACCTCCTAAATACTAGCAGCTTCATTACTGCTGCCATCCTGTCAATGGTCAGGTGCTGCATGCAAAAACATGCAAAAAAAATGCTGCTTTTTTTTTTTTTAATAGGAAGGTTGGGTCAGTATTTTCTGTTTCACTTTCTGGCAGCTTGCTTTGGGATTCCCATCTGAAAAGGTACTGATTTCATACTGAGAAGCTGGCTGCTGCTCCCTGCCCCTGCAGCTTTGCTCCCTGTCCCTGCAGCTCTGCTCCCTGTCCCTGCAGCACTGCTCCCTGTCCCTGCAGCTCTGCTCCCTGTCCCTGCAGCACTGCTCCCTGTCCCTGCAGCACTGCTCCCTAAATCCTGCAGCTCTGCTCCCTGTCCTTGCAGCGCTGCTCCCTGTCCCTGCAGCGCTGCTCCCTGTCCCTGCAGCACTGCTCCCTGTCCCTGCAGCGCTGCTCCCTGTCCCTGCAGCACTGCTCCCTGTCCCTGCAGCGCTGCTCCCTAAATCCTGCAGCTCTGCTCCCTGTCCCTGCAGCTCTGCTCCCTGTCCCTGCAGCGCTGCTCCTGTCCCTGCAGCGCTGCTCCCTAAATCCTGCAGCACTGCTCCCTAAATCCTGCAGCTCTGCTCCCTGTCCCTGCAGCTCTGCTCCCTGTCCCTGCAGCGCTGCTCCCTGTCCCTGCAGCGCTGCTCCCTAAATCCTGCAGCACTGCTCCCTCTCCCTGCAGCTCTGCTCCCTGTCCCTGCAGCACAGCAGTGCAGCTCCCCTGTCCCTATGTGCAGCTGCACAGGGGCAGGCAGAGCTCAGCAGCTCCTCAGTGCCCAGCACTGTGGCTCAGAGCTGCCATCTGATCTCAGACACATCCACGGTATCTGAGTCCAGCTGCACTCCTGTGTGCTGTCCCCATCAGCTCTCTGGCATCTCCCTGGCACTGCCACAGCACCGAATCCAGCACTGGGTGTGTTTAGTAGTATCAGTTACATCTTACAGGCACAAAGAAAACATCCCAGACATCCCAGCAGATTAAACCCCTTCACCAGCTGAATGAAGACAAACCCCATCCTTTTCTGGGCATTGAGTGCAGCTGGCAGTGACTGTCGCTCTCTGGTCAGAGGATGAGGAGTCTGGTCCTGGAATTGACTTGTACAAGTAACCATGAGCTGCTGAAGGTGGGAGCAGCAACTACAATTGAAAGGAGTCAGATAACAACAAAAATTTATACACAAAACCCATAATGCACAGTTTCAAAGATATCATTGTCAATATTAAAAATGCACCCAGCTGTATCTTCAGGTCTTGGATGTTGCAGACTTTTTTCATCATTCCAAGAAGAGTTTCTGTATTTTGTTGAAATGGAAGAACCTGAAGGCACTGTCCATCATAGAGAGAACTGTAATAGTACACAGTTCTGTGTACTGCTAGGGGAAAGCCTTCAAGTTCTGCATCTCTACTTCAAGTTGAGAAGGCCAAACTACATCTGACTATTGCAGATGCTGAGGAATAAAAACTTTGGTGCTGTATCTCAGTTTCTTCACAGAGAGGGATCTACTTCAGAGAATCAGTTAAAAATTGGGGCTTATACAGTGTGAAAACAATTCTGTTCCTCCCCCAAGGGAGCAAGAAGCTCATCTGTCTTTTTTTTCAAGAGGCTGTGTTTTTTTTTCAAGGAGCCTCCTTCATCTTCAGCATCTGCTCTGTTCCTGGCTGTGGAGAGATTTCCTGGGATTTATATGGAAGAGGGGAGCTCTGTATAGTTAAATCCAAACACATATGCTATTCCATCTACATTTCCCCACAAGCTGCATCTCTGCTTTTCATTCTCAGATTATTAAATATTATTCCAGACCAAACAAGAAAATATCAAAGGTGTGGAGGACACATAAGCTAATTAAAGAGCTAAAATTACCTTAGCTTGTTTCTATATGGGTTATTTTTGAGACCATCATCCAATATGATCCTCTTGTGAAGGTTGTACTGAAAGGAAAATTGTAGGTATCTTAATGTGTTTTGACATATACATTTTTTTTTCTGTAAGAAATGCTTTATCAAACATGAGTAATTAGGTTTCATGGACAAAAAATGTGGATGAACTGTAATAGTCTGTAATACAGAGGAGAAAAGTTCTTACATCTCATATACATCCTATGCCTCAGGCAAACTGTGAGCACCCTCTGTTCAACTTACCTGGAAAGTACAATTCCACTTGTGAGCAGACCTCACACTAACAAGCAAGCTGGCCAAGGGCAGGGAACCATTCAAGTGTATTCTTGCGACAGAAATATGGTCCCATTTAAGGGGCAATAGGAACATGTGGCCTCCCTGAATGATGGCTGGGGAAGGTGCACACAGAACTTACCTGTCTGACCAGAGCCTGAGCCTGAATGATGCTTGCAAGGTACCAGCAGGACACATGGGAGGGCTGCTGGGCCAGGGCAGGAGCCAGCTTCACAGAACAGAATCATTCAGGTCGGAAAACACCCCTGAGTTCAAACATTAAGCATGTCCCTGTGTGCCACATCTACAGGTCTCTGAAATACCTCTAGGGATGGTCATTCCACCATTGCCCTGGGCAGATTTTTCCAAAGTTTGAGAATCCTTTCAGTGAATAAATTTCTCCAATCATCCAATCTAACCATCCCTCCCCTGGCACAGCTTGAGGCTATGTCCTGTTTTCTTATCATTGTTACCTGGGAGAAGAAGCTGACCCCCCCCTTGCCACAGCCTCTTTACAAGTTGTTTGTTCATTTAGTTGGTAGGTTTTGTTTGGGGTTTTGTTTTGTTTTGTTTTGTTTTTTGTTTGTTTTTATGTGTAAAATAATGAAACAATTCAAAAATTTGTACTGCTAAAGAGGATAGCATTACAAAAATATCTTAAGGAGTTAAAAAAAATTAGGTTATGAATTAATATTGAAAGGCATTTCACAACACATTTTCTACTATACCTCAAATCAGCCTTTCTCTTGCCTAGTAGCCCTTATAAACCTGGATTTTCTTTTTTCTTGAGGGGGCACTTCCTGAAAAAAAAATCCAAGTAAACAGACTTGTTCATTCATCTGGGGGAGGTTTGGTGGGGTCTTACAATATTCAGTGTATATGATACATATTTCCACAGAGATGCCCATCCAAAGTAGAGAGCATTAAGGTCCCCTCTGAGCCTCTTTTCCCCCTCCCCAGCTCCCTCAGCTGCTCCCATCAGTGCTCCAGACCCTTCCCAGCTCTGCTGCCCTTCTCTGGACTCGCCCCTCAATGCCTTTCTTGCAGTGAGAGGCTGGAAATCAAAACCATGATTTGAGGTGTGGCCTCAGCAGCACCAGGGTGATGGTCACTGCCCTCGTCCTGCTGGCCACTGCTGCTGCTAAGGCCAGGGTGACCCTGCCTTGGCCACCTGGCTCCTGCCAGCTCATGTTCAGCTCTCAGATGGCCAACACCTGTCAAAGAGCCTGAGTTTCATTGAGATGACCCAGAGATACAAGACCTGTGTTGTTGGAGAGGATAGATAAATATAATTATTCATAAATAATACAGCCAGGATGAGAACAGTCCTCTCTGCTAGCCGGACAATGCCCTTGCCTATGGATGGGTCCTGGGGTCAAGAGGACTGTTCCATCTCACCCCCAAAAGATGTATGACTCACCCCACACCTGTATCCCTCCCCTAAAACATCAAGTGCCTGTAACCCCATTGGCCCGAGCCTTGTTCCAGCCCACCTTGAAGCCCCCTGATAAGGGGTCTTCGAGGGGCCACACGGTCTCTTGGAACTTCCCCTCCTCTTGGAACTTCCCCTCTCCTAGAGCATCTTTTTGTCTCTTCCCTCCCCCATCCTGTCAAGCCTAGCCACGTGCTGCATCTGGCAGCTCCAAGCAGGACCTTTCTCCATCCCTAATAAACCTGATATCCCAAGAGCAAACTTCAGAGATCTCTCGTCTCCATTCACCT